GGGGGTGTGGGTGCATTGATCTATAAAGTTAAATAGAGTTTTAGTTTTAGTTTTGTTAACTAGTGGTTTTGCCCACACTGTGTGCTAGCCTTTTGAGTATGTTGGCCTTTTGGCTTTCATGCTATTTGGACCCCCGTTGAAAGCTTATTTAATAATGGGTATTGGTAATCAGTTAATAGGGGTTTTTATTTTAATTAACTGGATTAAGACTGAGGGCTGAGTGCCTTTTGGCTTTAAGCGCTATTTGGGCCTCCACCTTTGAAAACTTATTAAATAATGGGTATTGATGGCAGAATAGTTAATGCAATTGGAGGGCAGTTTCTAGAGTTTTTATCACAGTGCAAAAGTGTGGACTTTCTATGTACAAAAAAAGTGTGGACTTTCTTGGGTGATTCTATGCTTCTCTTCATTATTTATACACCTCTGTGATGAGCGCATAACAAGAACAAAATAGGAAATATTTGCCTCTTTTTCATTTATTAGATGGGAAACTTTGGACTTCTAAGGTTAATTTCAAACAGCTGGAGGAAACAGAGTAAATCAGTTAAAACTTTTTAAAATGAAGGTGTCTAATGGAAAACGGTCAAAGCTACATGTCGCAAAACAGAAAGCAAAATTTACTCCTTGAATTTCATACATCTAGAAAAATCTCAACTATAACTTGAATTTCATTTGTTTGAAAAATGAAATCTCTAACATTTTACCATTGTGTATAATTTGTAGCTTAATAGAATAAGAAGTTCTAATTCTGTTAATTCTGTTAATTATTGTACTATATTGAGAGGTTCACACATTTCATTGAACTTGAAAGTGGGGCTTCCTGTGCTTAAATTGTAGAAGCTTTAATATTTAACCTTTGCTATCGAGGATCCTAAATGAAGAGCTTCTTGTATGAGCTCCCAGGGGTTCACCATTAGTTACCACATTTTCAACATTAGACATTTTCGGTAGAGAAGCCACTTCAACAACTGAGCCAAACACCCACTTCATTACATGGCATGGTGGATTTAACTTTATTTTATGGTCGTGGAAATAAAAAAAGAAGATGATGAGCGCAAATCACAAAGTAGAAAAGTGATTTTCATTGTTATTAACTCCAATGGTTGTGAAACTACAAAATTAATGTATGTAGGCTTAGACTGACTAACCATTGTAAGATTGGGATGTAAAACAAATTATACAGTAAATTAATACTGATATTAAGACCTGCTGGACCAAAGCCTGGGTGAGCAAAATAAAATAATCATAAAGTACTTTGATTGCCTGAAGAATGAACAACTATAGTTGTGTAATTGATATTGTATTATTTTATTTGGAAGATACATAAATTATCTGTATCCAGTCAAGACTACATTTCATTTTTGTTGTGATTATATTAATTTTTTAATTTAATCCCATTTAAGTAATTTTTTGTTGTATTTAGCCTTTGGTTTGTTTATCTGATAACTATTTGTAGCATTTTTAGGTAGTATGGTGTCTGATTTCTATCATTGTTGATTGAGTGGATTGTATAGTAACTAAGATATTGATACACATATATACCAGTGAAGTATTTTCGTTGCATGATCTTTTTGGATAATTTAATTTACATTTTTATTTTCAGATAAACAAGCATGCATTCTCTGGTGGACAAGAATCTATAGAGAAACATAGAAAGTATGGAGCTAATCTGGAGGTACTTGGTTTTTCCTTTGCTTTGCTTGTATGATGGATTTACTAGCCAGATCATCTAGCTTTTACAAATCACACTTTATTGCAAAAATGTATTCAATTTATAAGGATTTTGGAAATATGTTACTCTTATTGTAGCTGAATCCCAAGATTTGATGAACCGATCTGCAATGTGACTTCCTTTTAATGTGTTTGTTTAGCTTTCCATAAGTTACTGCCATTTACATGTAGTGAAAAGGGTATATTTATGCCTATAATTAAATGTCAAATTTTATATTTTTAATACAAATTAATAACAAGAATGCATATTCATACACTCTTAACACGTTTTCTTAATAATCCCAATTTGAAAACATTTAAGAATATATAAATAGGCATTTTTGTTATTAATTTTTATTAAAAATATTAAATTTGACATTTAATTTATTAATTGTCTAATTGAATTCATACACATGGCACTAACATTAAAATTAATGTCAATTTTTATATTTTACTATTTTCGTTCATTTTTAGTAAACCTAATTTAAATTTTGACATTTTAAACATGAATTTTAGATAAAAAAAAAAAAATCAAACATATTATATAAATAATAACTAAAATTTTTTTTATCAAACAAAAGTACCCAATAGAAATTTTGTGGGAAGAAAAAACTTTTTTATTATTATTTATATAATTATTAAATTTTTATTTGAAATTCATATTCAAAAAGTTAAAAAGTCAAATTAAGTTTACTACAAATGAACAAAAAAATATATATTTATGAAAAACAGTGTTACTAACTTGTATCCTTAGATTAAAACAA